CCCGACACCAGAACTAAAGTCTGCCCTCATCATCCCCTCGCCCTGGGGTGTTGGCTTGGTGAATGGGGCCCATAGCACAGTATTGGGAAGGGGGGGAAGGGGACACGTTACACCCCGGCGTACCTTCTCATCAAAGATCGTGCGGTTGTAAAGACTGTAGAGTCTGCGCGTCAGATCAACTTTCTTCTGTTTGAATTCCTTCACATAGCCGGATGTTGGGTGAGAAAGATTGTTCAGGAAACAGTCCTTCACTTTACACGGAACTCCCCTAAATAGAGCAAGACAGTGAGAGGTTATATATGTATTATACAAGGCCCAAATTACCCCCCTTCCCCCCCCCCAGCTGCTGCAGGATCAAACCCAAGCCTCCCAAACCCTACAAACACTGACCCATCCCGGCTCCACCCTCCCCGCAGTCACCCGGCTCCACCCTCCCCGCAGTCACCCGGCTCCACCCTCCCCGCAGTCACCCGGCTCCACCCTCCCCGCAGTCACCCGGCTCCACCCTCCCCGCAGTCACCCGGCTCCACCCTCCCCGCAGTCACCCGGCTCCACCCTCCCCGCAGTCACCCGGCTCCACCCTCCCCGCAGTCACCCGGCTCCACCCTCCCCGCAGTCACCCGGCTCCACCCTCCCCGCAGTCACCCGGCTCCACCCTCCCAGCAGTCACCCGGCTCCACCCTCCCAGCAGTCACCCGGCTCCACCCTCCCAGCAGTCACCCGGCTCCACCCTCCCAGCAGTCACCCGGCTCCACCCTCCCAGCAGTCACCCGGCTCCACCCTCCCAGCAGTCACCCGGCTCCACCCTCCCAGCAGTCACCCGGCTCCACCCTCCCAGCAGTCACCAAGCTCCACCCTCCCAGCAGTCACCAAGCTCCACCCTCCCAGCAGTCACCAAGCTCCACCCTCTGCAAGGGGACCCCATTATAGATGGGAGCCAGCACATGTAAAGTCCATGTCCATCTAGAACCATCCATGTGAAGGTCAGCTCTGGAAGAGGCTCCACTTACGTGTTCCCTGGACGCGACGTCTCCACATCATCAAAATGTTTCTTCACGGCTTTATCGGGGATGACGTGCGGGCTCTTAAAGACGTCTGAACACGACTGAGGCCTCGGCTTTGCGTCACTCTTCTTGTTCGTTAGATCCAAACACGGCGCCTTCAGCGGTTCTGATACCAGAGGAAAGAACAGAGCATGTGATGACTTTATATCTCCTCGCTGGACCTCCACAGTCCTGTTCTTGTATCAGAAGATTCCTCACCAAAACCTCCAACATTCCATTGGTGTATAGACGACCAAATACCGGACCCGACTAATGATCAGCTTTCATCAGATTGTGGGGGGGGTCACCTATCGATTATTGAACATCCCGTTCCCAAACCATGGAGGATACCAATGTGGAGTCCCCGTCCACCACCAGGGCCATCAATCTGGAGTCTACACTCTTCTCCAGTATTGAGCTTCCCCCCCATGGCCATTAATATGGAGTCTCCCCCCCAACAGCTAATAATAGGGCGTGCCCCAAACCCACGGCATTATTATAGAGTCTGCTACCTTGGCTATTAGCGTGGAGTTGCCCACTACCCCTTCCATGCCCATTAATCTGGAGTTGCCCCCCTCTATTGCCAGTTAATGTGGAGTAGCCCCTCCTTTTGTGGCTATAACGTACACGGGGGACAGTCATGGGGGGGGGGACAGATAAGGGTCTTCACCAAACTGTGACCACAAGGCTGGAAGAGCCCAATTGTCTCCAATGTCTTTGTATGATGGAGTATTGGGCTTGGATGACAACATATCGCGTTTCCCCGAAAATAAGACACTGTCTTATATATTTTTTGCCCCCAAAAACCACACCGGGGTATTATTTTTTTTTTTACTGTGCAACAAAATGTACAACAACCTAAAGTTATCCGGAGTCACTCCGCCTGTCACAGTCACTATAGAGGAAGTATCTTATTTAGAGGAGGTCTTATTTTCCTATAGAGGAGGTCTTATTTTCAGGGTAGGTCCTATTTTCAGGGTAGGTCCTATTTTCGGGGGAGGTCCTATTTTCGGGGGAGGTCCTATTTTCAGGGGAGGTCTTATTTTCGGGGGAGGTCTTATTTTCGGGGTAGGTCCTATTTGCGGGGTAGGTCCTATTTTCAGGGTAGGCCCTATTTTCAGGGTAGGTCCTATTTTCGGGGGAGGTCCTATTTTCGGGGTAGGTCTTATTTTCGGGGTAGGTCTTATTTTCGTCCCCATGTCTGTATGGAGCCGGCTTTGTACACGGGGGACAGCCATGGGGGGGACAGAAAAGGGTCTTCACACAGGGCTGTAGGGTTGAGGGACACCTATGAAATGATGCTGTTTGGAGATGTTGAATGAGTGTGACGAGTAATAATTGACAGTTGGGTCTTCTACAACCCGAAGGTCATAATACCTTATGAAGCAATGACTGAACACATGGCTGTGCTCCAATGGGGGTGTACGGGGGAGGGGCCCTGGATTAGTTATCAATAAGGAGATGAAATCCCGATAGTCCCACCTGCCAGGAAAGTTTTGGGGTTCCCTTTCCTCGCGGTTGACCCCGGCGTTTGGTTCTTTGCGCGGTTTTTAATGCGGTCCATCAGACACTCAAACTCGTCGTCAGAGCTGACGGGCGTGCACAGCGCCGGCTCCGGCCGGATGGGTCTCTCTGGTCCTCCGGAGGATTGGGTGTTGGGAGGCTCCGGGTGGATCTCCGGGACTTTCTTGGGCGCAGAACTTGCCCTTTGACCTTTATCCTTCGGATTTCGGTTCTTTGCGTGTCTATTGGACCAGGTGCTTCTTATCACGATGGAGTCCTCATCACTGTCACTTATAAAGACAGGAGAGTCATTCCGCTGCCAGGACCCCGATGGCTTCTGAGAGATGGAAGGCACCAAGACGGAGGTCTTCGTTCCTACAGAGAAGACGCGGGACAGAGATGACGCGGGACAGAGAAGACGGGGGACAGAGAAGACGGGGGACAGAGAAGACGGGGGACAGAGAAGACGCGGGACAGAGAAGACGCAGGACAGAGAAGACGCAGGACAGAGAAGACGCAGGACAAGGTAGAACCACGGAGAATTCCATCATTGGAACTTCACATTTACCGTTCCGGCGTTCAGATCCTTTCCCAGCCTTCGAGAACATGGAATCAAAGTCATCCTCATCCTCAGACTCAACAATAAAGCTCTTTATACTGGAAAGAGAAGAAAGATTGTCAATGGAATGTATTATATGTTTAGTCATCTGTTATATACTATGTGCCCAAAAGAATATGCTGGACAGAGAAGACGCAGGACAGAGAAGACGCAGGACAGAGAAGACGCAGGACAGAGAAGACGCAGGACAGAGAAGACGCAGGACAGAGAAGACGCAGGACAGAGAAGACGCAGGACAGAGAAGACGCAGGACAGAGAAGACGCAGGACAAGGTAAAACCACGGAGAATTCCATCATTGGAACTTCACATTTACCGTTCCGGCGTTCAGATCCTTTCCCAGCCTTCGAGAACATGGAATCAAAGTCATCCTCATCCTCAGACTCAACAATAAAGCTCTTTATACTGGAAAGAGAAGAAAGATTGTCAATGGAATGTATTATATGTTTAGTCATCTGTTATATACTATGTGCCCAAAAGAATATGCCCCCCCCCCCCAAAAAGGGGTTCAGGGGGAACCCCAGGGCCCCGCCC